CACCGCAGCCCTGGACATCAGCTCGCCGGCACCAGGCTTTCTGCATTCCCGTGCGACACGTTCGGCGAGGCAGCACGCTGGCTCCGTTGCAGCGACTGGGCGCTGTTGTCAACCATTCACAGGGCTTCGCCTGGCTCGGCTTTGCCCTGGGCGCGGCCGCGCAGTGAGCGATCAGCTTCCCGCTGTTGCAGTCGCCCCCCCTTACGCAGAGCAGTCTGCGCAGCTTTCGTCAGCTGCACACCGTTATTTCGCCGCACTGCTTGTGTCGGTTACTGTGTGCGCACGCTGGCTACCACCGCAGGTGGTCCTTCGCCGATGAGCATCAGTGTTCTTCTTCTGATGGCATCCCACGTGGTCCACCCAGCCGTGGCGCTTGTGAGTGCGTTTCATTAGGCCGTGGCTCCACCACCGTACAGGGTGCTGCCTAGTGTTTCTGCTCGCTCACTTCGCCCGGTTTGCTGTGTTGGCGCCGCCATGGCGACTCTCAGCTGTCTTCGCATTTGTAGCGCGTCTCTTGGTTCGTTGCTGCGCCTATGTGCGTCGCCTGCGAATTCAGTACACTTTGTACTGAGCATGTGCAACTGCGAGCTCGCTTGCAGGAGCGGTCTGCTGTCGACAGTGACGGCTGGATCGCCAATTTACAATGCGCCGCGGCCCGGACGTCGTGACCGCTCCCTGGGCTTTTCCATGGAGCCGCCGAACAAAAAATGTAACTCAACCAGTGCCCGAGCTTCCCTGGGTGCCCTCAGCCAGTCTGCCCTCGCCGTGCGGCTCAGCAGCTGCCTTGTGAGCTGGCCCGGCCGGCTGTTTCGCACCTGGCAGCTAATTGGGCCTGTTTCCGCGCCCCGGACAGCTTCTGACTCCGCCTGCGCTTTCGCCAGCGGACGCGACCGAAAAAGTAACTCAACCAGCCCATCCAGAAAAGATGCCCGGGCGAGTTGCCCCGACCAGGGATGTGGAGGTTAACGCAGTAGGAGAAAGGGCTGGGGAAGCGTCATACCCCAAGAGGGGGAGGATGGAGGAGGAATTGGAGGAGGGGGAGGAGGGGGAGGGGGGGGGGAGGGGGGAGGAGGAATAGGCGGATGAGGACGATGGGGATGATGATGATGATGATGAGGAGGAGGAGGAGGAGGAGGAGGAGGAGGAGGAGGAGGAGGAAAAGGACGAGCGGAACAACCAGAGGCCCCTTGGATGCTTCTCGGAGTCTCCCTGGATGTCTCTTGAGAGTTTCTTGGGCTCCCCTTGGGGCGTGTTGGGTGCCTCGGGGGAGCCTCTGGGTTTCTAGGGAACGTTTCGGGGACCTCTTGGGGGCGGGGCGCCTCTTGGGACCCTCTTGGGGCGCCCTTGGGAGCGTTGGGGGCCATCTTGAGGGAGTTCGAGCAAAGAAGGGGGGATTCAACCAGCCCCCCCCCCATTAGGCCAAAATTAACCCAACGTTTTTGGGAAATCAATGATGTTTGCCTTCTCGCTGAGGCCTTCTTGGGCGCTCTGACACCTCTCGGTGTCAAGACATGTTGAAGTGGCGCAAACTGGTTGGCTCACCCCCACCCGCCCTCCCAATGCACACACACATATCGCACGCGAGTCTCAGCATATTCAACGGCCGTCTTTGAATGGGCAGCTGCTGGGTACCAACAGAGATTCCAGGGGCGCGACGCTGGGGCGAGGTGCGCCACGCGCACCAGGCGCGCCGGGCGCCCCTGGGTCCCGAGCGTGCCAGGCACGCCTGGTATGCCAGATGTGGAGGAGGTGGAGGAGGAGGACGAGGAGTAGGAGGAGGAGGAGAATGAGGAGGAGGAGGAGGAGGAGGAGGAGAACGAGGAGGAGGAGGAGGAGGAGAACGAGGAGGCAAGATCTCGAGGATCTCGAGGGTCGAGGGCCACACGCGCTCCACGTGCGCCAAGTGCCCTGCATGCTCCAGCCGCGCCAGGTGCGCCACGCTCGGAGCACGCGCAGTGTGCGCCAGTTGCGCCCGCACGCATCGGGAAACATGCCGGTTTCCACCCTCTTTGTCGAAAGCCAGTGCACAATCGTGGCGGAGTGGCCGTCATGATGTTCGGTGGACCTTCACACGGCAGGTAATCTGCTGGCACCCCCGCCGTCCCTGACAACAACCCATCCTAAGTGGGTGTGCCCGCGCATGTTCCAGATTTAACCGCGAAATGAAGCTTGTATTTTTTTAACAAGGATTTTGGCCCTGCGCGCAGCAGGTGATCTGCTGGCACCCCCGCCGTCCCTGTCAAACAGCCCATTCAAAGTGCTCGCGCCCCGCCCTGAACATGACCCAAGATTCTGCCGCAAAGTGAATTCTGTTTGTGTTTTATAGGGATGGCCAGTGTGGGTCCCTCATGGTCCCAGGGTTGCCGCTGGTCGGTTGGGGGAGTTTTATTATTACTATTATTATTATTATTTTCATTATTATTATTATTATTATCATTATTATTATTTAAACGAGTGAGGGCCATTGACCAGGCTACCTCAAGCCGTGTCGGTAGTTCCCACCCGCTCTCCCATTATATAAGCAGCATTCGAGTCTTAGCACAGGCCGCACAGGCCGGGGCCGCCATCGACAACCATCGGGGTCCAACGCAGACGCCAGCCAGGTGCGCGATGCTCGCGAGGTGCGCCGTGCGCCACGCGCACCAGATGCGCCACACTGGGCAACATGCCGACCACCCCACCATCCAGGTCAACATCCCATGCAAAGTGATTGAGTGTGTGAGCATTGTGTATTGTGTGTGGATGTGCACCCGCAATCATTGAGCATGTGTTTTTGACAGACACAGTGGGCCTGCACACAGCAGGCAGTATGCAGCCCCCCCCCGCCGTCCCTGGCAACGTGAACTTCGCATTCCTGTTGAAAGGGTAGATGGGCTTGCGCACAGCATGCCAAATGCTGGCCACCCCGCCACCCCTGCCTAAACCAATGCCAAGTGATCGCGGGGCCTCCGCGCACGATCCATGTTTTTGTGCAAAGCGCGCTTCGCGTTGTTTTTTTTTCCAAGGACGGTTGCAGGTTGTGGGCGTTGCATGCAGCAGGCAATATGCTCGACCCCCAACCGCCCAAGCCAACAACCAGTGCATAGTGATCGTGGGGCGTCCGCGCATGGTCCAGATTCTGGTGCAACGTGTACTTCGTATGGTGTTTTGACATGGACGGCGGGGGGGGTGCCTGTAGACTGATCAGGAAGAGTGATCAATCCCTCCCCGAAGGGGAAAAGGGGAGTTGGAAGGTGAAACGCGCTAAACCACTTACGCCCTAAGAGGCTGCTGCGATCACCAGGCTCATGGCTCGGCGCAGCGTGCACTACTGCTTCTGGCGAGTATGGAATCGCGTGCCAGCCAGAACGCATTCGCACAGGAGCGCTTGCGGGTGCCGCTGGTGCAAATACGCAAACGTGACTACGACGTGTCCCGCCGCACCATGGCTCTCGAGAGCAGTATGCATAGATACGTGCGCGTGCGTGCATCTGCCTTGTATCAGAAAGGTCGCATCTGTGCAAAGCGTGGGCGCTGCTGTTGGCCATCGTGGATGCCCGGTCCGTTTGGCAGCGGCTCGATGGCGCCGGCTTGATTCGATATTGTATTTGTTGGTTCAAGCAGCCTCACGTCGGACGTCTCATTCTTTTGAGAAGCGACTCGGGGGAGGGGTGGAAGGTGGTAGACGAGGAGACTGAGGATCAGGAAGAGGGCAAGGAGGAGGTGGACGAGGAACATCCGCCGCCCTCACCTCCCCATCCTCCCCATTGCAGTCGGGCAGTGCAACACCCCAGCGAGGGAACACAACAAGGAGAAGGAGGGGAGGATTACGGGCACGGTAAGGACGAGGACGAGGAGGTTGGGGATGGAGGAAGCCCTCCGGAGGGAAGGAGAGGGATGGGAGGGGATGGGGAGAGGTGGAGGGAAGGGAGGGGAGAGGGGGGGGGGAGGATGGGAGGGGAGGGAGGGCGGGAGAGGGTACGCACAGGGCAGAGAGTCTCAGGGTGTTTCGGGCGCTTCTCATACGTGCGAGCGTCCGACGGCAGGGACGGGGGGTGAAGTTCTGCGGCCCAGTCTGGCGTAGCGCGGCCCTCGCGGCTCGAACCGTGTCTCTTGCTCGCTCCCCGTTCCTCCTTGATGCTCCTCCTCGGTGCCTCTCCTCCTCTTCCTCCTCCGCCTCCTCCTCCTTCTCGCTGCTCGTCTTCGCCCCTCGTGCTCCGTGTGTGCGCGCAGCTCCCCCCAGAAAAAGATAGTTGGTCTTCTGGCTTTGTTCTGGCGGTGCCCAGATGCTGTCAAAAGCATCCTCTGGCCCAGGGTGCCCCCCCGCCTTTCCCACCCACTTTGGCCCTCTGGAGGCGTCCCCTGAGATCCGTCGTCGCGCAAAAATTGCAACGTGGTACCCCAGAGCCTATATTTCTGCCTTATTTGTCGAGCCGGATCGATATGTGAGGGTCCAGGAGCCCGAAATCAAGCGAAAACGCCTGTTTTAGAACAAATCGCAGCGCTCAGATCTGAGGGTCTGGGGGCCACGGGGGCCTCTGTGGGAAACCTAGGGTCGCGTCGGGCGGCGGCGCACAGAAGGGTGTGGGGCTCGAAGGCCCTCCTGGCTGCTCAGAAGTCTTTCAGGAAGCCTCTGGGCGCCTCGTCTGAGAAGCCCCCCGCCTTCTCGGAAGGCCGCCCCCCTTTGCCCCATGCCCTCCTGCACGCCGCCCAGGGGAGAGCGGAGGATGATGGAGGGTCAGGAAGAGGATGGGGAGGAGGGAGAGGAGGGAGGAGACAGAGCGTGAAGAGGAAGCGCACAGTATCAGGATAACGCGGAGTCTCACGCCCACGGCGGGGGAACACATGCAACAAACCCTCCCGGGGCTTCCGTGGCCTCGAGGAGGCCCAGGGCTTCAGCCTTGCAAGACCCCCGCCGCCCTCCCCCCCGCCCCACCCAGCCACCAGCAGCTCGGGCCAAGGGCGGACACTTCCGTCAACACCCGAGGGCTGCAGAACGGATCCGCCGCGTCCCTCAGAAGATGAGGCTGAGAGCACTCGCGATCCTCGGTGCCGTGGCGCCGGCGCCAGCGGTGCAGCTGCAGGACGTCGCGTCACGCTCCTTTGCGGCGGAGGAGAGGTGCCGACGGGAAGGAGGGCGGGTCGAGCACGAAAAGGTCGTCATGACCGAGGGGGGAGGAGGCGGAGGAGGAGGAGCAGGCTGACGCCGTAGTCCGTATGTCGGAAACTGGAGCATATACATTACCAGTGGCGGGCGGTTTTTCAATCCCAGGTCTTTTTTGTGGGTCGAGGACGACGACCTTTTTCCCCGTTTTCCCCGGGAAGCAACGAAGAATGTATACACCAGGATCCCGTATACACCAGGATCCGAATTCCTGTGCGAGATTCAGTGTGAGGCCAGACAAAGGCGTCGGTGTGTAGAGTTCGGCGCCATAGTATGGCACAATAATCGGAGGGGGGGACTAACCTTCCGACGGAGCGCCCGAATCCCCCCCCACCGCCCTTCAACGTGCGTCTAAACTTCTCGCCCCCCCGCACCTGGCCCAGAAGCTCGAGCTTCAAAACTGCCATCCCCCCCAAATCCCGCCCCGACGGCACGCGCCCATGCCCCCCTCGAACCCAAGGGGGGGGGGCGGTTGTTATGCCATCCGGAGGTTTCGCTCCATGGCCGCGTCGTGAGGCCATCCGATCGCGGGCCTCCGTCCTGCCGATGTGGGTTGTTCTTTGGGTCTGTTCGCCACGCTCTCCACAGGGCTGCGCACCTCCAGCCGCCATAGCCCGCAGATTCTTGTAACGTGCGGACTTGGTCCCGCGGACAAGCTGGCGGCTCGGCAGACGGCGACGCGCCCTCCTGGCAAACTTGATGGACAAAACGTGTGTTCCTGTGAATTCGGCCGCAGTCGCGCGCTACCCCGACGCAGGGCTGGCGTCATCCAGCACCTCCGGCCTGCAATGGCGCACCTGCGCCCAAATCCTTCCTTGGGTCTCGCCACAATCGACAGGTGACGGCGCTAATTTCGCAGCGCGCGCTTCCGACGCGGCGCAGCTGGATCATCGAGTCGCGCGGTCAGCGAACGATAACATTCGACCTACTCGCGGTTGGCACGAAAATGTTGCAAACTGGCGCATGGGCAACAATTTCGTCGATGATAATATTTGTCAGCAGCGTCCATTGTGCGGATCCCTAGGGCCCTCACTCTCCTTCTCTCCTCATCCTTCGCCTTGTGAATCCGGAGGAAAAGGAGGAGGACCAGCAGCAGCAGTAGGCGGAGGAGCAGGAGGCGGAGGCGGGCTAGCAGCAGGAGGAGGTGCCGTTCGCGAGGTGGCCAGCCCGTTTCGCCTGAGACATCCTCGCAATTCTGAGCTCTGATATATCCTAACCCACAATGGTCCAACCCATATATCGCTTGAGATTTCCTCGCATCTCGACGCCCAGAGCTGCTCTGACCTGAAGTGGTCTGCCCCGTTTCGCCTGGGACATTTTCGCAACTCTAGGCTCATATAAGGCCGTGACTTCCTGGAGGCCCGGGGGCCTCCCAGGTGGCTTGGGCTGGGGGCCCCAAGAAAACCGAAACGGGGTTATCAAGAAGCTCGAAGTGTAGATTCGGCGCGCGCTGACAAGGTTCCCCCCGTCGATCTGTGGATTCGGCGCCAGTAATACGGATGCCCCACCCTCAATCTGTGGATTCTGCGCGTGTACACCAGACGACCCTAGGACCATCTGCGGACAACATGCGTGCCCGCAGGTTGTCCTGTGAGCGCCCCCCCTGTCCGCAGATTGTGCGCGCACAGGCCCAAGCACTCTGTCCGCACATGACAGTACAATCTGTGGACCAGGGACACATGTCCACACTTGACAGTACAATCTGCGGACGGCCTCCCAAAAAGTGTTGCCCGCACTCGACAGCACAATATGTGGATTCGGTCGCTGTACACGACCGCTACTCGACAAACAGATGGTGCCCCGACCTCGGTGCCTAGTCTGGGGGATGTGGCCCGGGTGGGGACCATGTGTCCGCGCATGACAGTACAATATGTGGATGTCTCGTATACGAAAGGCAATGCACAGCACCGCGCGGCAATGGAAACATGAGAGAAGATGAGGAGGGAGGGCGAGAGAACGAGAAGCGAGGGATTTCAGAGGGCCCCAACAAGCCTCCAAGAAGGCTCCAAGGTCTCCCATGATCCTCGATTCGATGTGGGGAAACGCGGCCGCATTTCCCCACCTCTAAGGCCCTCCAGGGATTGTCTTGGGGTACCCTTGGGTCCCTCATGGGGTCCTTCTGGGAGCCCAGCCGACAGCCGACGAGCGCGTGGGCACGGATGAGCAGCATGTTTCGCATACCGAAGTCAGCGCGACGTCGGACTGGTGTCCACACCCTTCTTGTTGACCTCCTCCTCCTCCTCCTCTTTCTCCCCTCCTCCTCCTCCCCCTCCTCCTCCTCATTCTCACCTCCACCTCACCCCTGTCGTTTGAATTCGTCGTGCCACAGGGGTTCAATACAGCCCAACAGGGCCTGAAGACGACCAGGGACGTTTTTCTGACGCCCTGCTTTCCTCCTTCCCCCATGATCCCTCATTGTTGCCCCTCCCCTGGGGTCATTTTATGTGAGGGATACCGGCCCACAGTCGCAGACACCATGATACCATTCAGGGCGTCGATGACAGGTTCTATTACGGGCGATGCTGGTGCTTTTCTGTTCGGCAATGTTTGAGTGCACGCACCATGGCAATGACATCGAGATTATGTCAATGCTGTGAAATCCAATGCAGTGCACTCCATACGCTCTGCGATGCCCGATTGCCCCATCAGGGCCCAGTTCGTTATTAGATTGCAATCGGCGTATACGTGTTGTGTTTTCTGTTTTCGCAGACGACATGCTCAGGGCTGCAATCCGCAGGTTGGCAGAATCTGTGGACAGTAGGGTTGGCCGCCATGTAACGGCTCTAGGTACAGGCCCCAACACCAACCCAATTGCCGATGCCGATCACGCATCGACATGTTTTTGGTAGTCTAAGACTTGTTTGTGATAGGCTGCTTGGCAGGTTGGCAAGGACGCCTGTTGATCATAGTCTGACTGTAGAGGAAGACCAACCAGTATTGTGACACAGGGGAGGGATGGCCCCGCCAGTTTGTTGACAACAACGGCAGCTGCCAGCTTCGCTGCGCAGCTGCTTCTGAGTCACCTCGCACACGTTCGCGATAGATTCAGGCATGGTCCATGGCAGCAGGTTTGTTTCCCTGTCATCGTCACACTGGCACGTTTTCGGACTAAGTCGGATTGTTATAGCTGTGCGGCGCCAGCGTCGAGAGCCCAGGCGGAACTCCAAAAGGAACCAGCGACCAGTGGGCCAACGGCAGCACCGAGTGGACCTCTTGGCGTCGGCATCGTCGGGGTCGGGAATCTCGAGTGCCCCTGCCACGACAACTGATTGCGTCCTGGTTGTCATGAAATCCTCCGTCTCGCGAGCCTGCCTCGAATTGGTCACTTAGCTCGCGACTCAACTGGCCAAGCCCGAAGAGAGACCCTCCAGGCCACCCGTGAGGGCGGATGTCAGCAAGGCGGCCATGGCACATTGGCGGGCAGAGCAGGGTGTGGGCAAGGCCGCCAAGATATCGTCAGACGTTAGGAAGTGGTCGGCAGATGCGGAAAGGGGATACGTACCACGCGGCGAGCAGCCTTGCCGTCGCCGATTGCGATTGGATGCAAGCTTTGGCGACCAGCTCGCAGCATTCAGCGGACACTATGGGCACCCAGCTCAGCCAGCCCCAGCGGCAGCGGCACGGTCATCGACGCGGCGAAGCTGATGGTGGCCGATGTGTTAGTGGGGTTCGCTCAGTTTGCATGTGGTGAATTTGGCAGTTAATGCAATGCTGTCACTGTGGAGGGCCGTAAAGTATGGACTGGGTTCAAGACTAGTGACGTCAAGGATATTTGCGCTGCCATCGCCGCGGCAGTGGGCCCCGCGCCTGTCAACCTGGTCCATGTCCGAAAGCCGATCGTTCCAGGACAAGCGCAGGGAGGGTCCAACAGCGAAAGAGGCGCAGCGGCGCCTGCAGGCCAGCCTGCAGCGCAGCGGTGCTAGCGGCAGCAGCAGAGCAGTCAGCGCCTCGGCAAGCACGCACGTAGGCCGAGGAGCTTACGGAGGCAGCCTTGGCCGAGGAGAAAAGGGAAAGGAAGAGACGTCGCCCCTGCAGCTGTCCGCCCAGCCACGAACTTCTAGGAGGGTCGGACGGCCGCGCGCAGAGAAAGGGGATTTGCGGCTCCACGTTGCCAATTGCGCGAAGTGGGTTGTTCACGATAGAGCGCGCGTTGGCTGGGTGCGCACGCAGTGCGCGTCGGCGCCGATGCACGCGGCGATGTCAGACGGCAGACTTTGACCCAGCAGCAACATACATCGAACAAGTCGGGATGGCATCCCACATGCAGTCTTGAGGCTGCGACGGGTGAGGAAAAGGGCCCTGGGTCACAGAGGAGTCCAGGCGCTGACCAGGACCGATGTCCACGCAGGCGCGACGTGCCCATGCCGGGCCCGGCCAGGCGGCGCAGTCCAGATGTTGGGCGCCCCGCGGGCTGGCCGGACAGTGGTATCGCGCGGGATCGACATTGCATTCGCCGCGCCACCTGAACGACGGCGACAGAGCAACGGGCGCGAGAGGGCTCATCTCGGGCGAGGGCACGGACTACCTGCCCAAGAGATTACAGCGCCATGCAGCGATGGGCCCACATGCGTCGGTCGCGGCGTGTGCGTTCGGGCAAAGGCGTCTTCGAGGAGATGGCCGACGTTGGCAATGATAAAATGGTGACGATGCAGAGGATGCGCGAGATGACGGCGGACTTCGAGCTGGCCACGAAGCCCTAGTTGACGATCGTGGCGCCGAAGGCCTGGCCGTCTATCTCGCCCTTCCTGGCGCTGTTGCTGCGCAGCGAGACGGAGCTAGAGGAAGGCGGCGGCAATGGGGCCGAGGGCATTGACGAGGTCACGGAGTCTGCGACGATCGGAGCGGAGGTAGTGAGGCACGTGGCCGATGCTAAGCCCATTGCCGGTGTGGAGAAGCGGGTGCAGATGGCAGGGAAACAGAAGTTGTGCCTCCTGCGCGACGGAGTAATGCTTGCGTTTAGCCAGGGCGATTTGGAGCAGGCCGCAAGGCTGAAAGAGAAGTTCGACGCGCTCGCATCCAGTGAACCCCGTAGTACGTAGCCGAGTTTTGCATACACATGGCGATGGGGCGCCAGTCGACGATGCGGCGAGGCGCAGCACAGCCTTGTCGTAACGGCGCCAATGGGCGCCGAGTTCGACGGCCACATGCTGGGCGAGGGCGGGGTGGTGAGCGTGGGGGTGGGGAATGCGCGCGGGCCCAGCCTCCTCCGTCGTTCCTTTTCCTCTTCCGGCTGCTGTGCTGGTGTGCCTGACTCGGCAGAGGGGTTTCAGGGTGGCGGAAGTGGTTTGGAACGCCACAGTGGGGGCCCAAGTTCTCTCCCAGGACGGACCGTTGAAGTGAGGATTGGTGGTGGGCGTTGTGGATTTTCTATTGGCGGGGGGCATGTCGAGCGTGGGAATTCGGTGCCCATCTCGAGGTGACCTCCCGTCGTTGGTTGTGACGCGGCCCTCGGTCAAATAGTATTCCCCAGTCGTCAGGAGGGGTGCGCACTGATGGGGCGTCACGGGGCCATGTCGTGTGCGGGACTTTGGCTCCGAGTACAGGGCGGTTGCGCTTCGCTTCGGGTGCGCGTGCCGATGGGCTTCCTGGGTTCGCACAACGGTCCAGAACATCTCCTCTTGCCCTCGTTCGACCAGGCTTCAGGCTTCAGTACCTACCTCCTTCTCCTCTTCCCTGTCCTGTGTCAGCCGAGAGGTATGCGCTGCTTGCCGCAGGCCTTCGGCGAGGGGCGGCCGCCGCCCCCCGGCAGGCGATGGGGGCAGGGGAGATCAGGAAGGCGAGGCGAGTAGGGAGGAAACCCATGCCAAGGAACACCCTGCTTGCCTCCAGGCTGCCCTGGGTTTCTTCGATTTCGATGGTTTCGCGATGGAAAGCATGACGTTCCCACACCAAAAATCAATGGACGTCCTGGGGTCTCACAGTTGGGTTTCTTGTGGAAGGTTTCTTGTGGTCGAGCTCCTACTGTAGCGGAGCGAAGGTCCACGCATATCCAAAGTCGGCCTCGCTTGGTGCTGCCAGATGTGTAACTCCGTCGCTTTCCTGAGCTCCGGGTCGTGTGGGGGTCAGCGGATCGCCCTGTCGAATGCATCCAAAGTAGACCTCGCCTGTCTAGGTGCTGCCAAGCGTCGTCAATAGGTTTGGTATGTCCATGGAGCCGTTTGTACTTACAAGGAGTGGGCGATGAGGAGGACGAGGACGGGTGCCCGTTAGCTCTTCAGGAGCTCGTTAGTATGCCCGCATCGTCGCCGTATCCTGAGGAGGAGGAGGAAGAAGAGGAGATGGAGGAGGAAGAGGAGGAGGAGGCGGAGGCTGCAAGTGTCCAGGAGCAGGTATATGTACAGCATGAGGGATGATGAGGGGATGGAGAGATGGGACGGGGGGGTGGGAGAGGGAGAGGAGAGAATGGTGGAGAGAAGTTGTCCGACGATGGATAGTGGTAGCAGTGAGAAGATCCAGGCAGCGGAGGAGGCATAAGCGGAAGAGAGTGGGGGAACAATAGGATGAGGTGGAGGAGGATGAAGGGGGAGAGGAGGGAGGGAGGTAGATAATCAGGAAATGGAGGTATAGGAGGAAGCAGGTGGAGGTTAGGAGAGTTGCGGCTTGCGGGGAAGCGAGGGGTCGGTATTTGTGGTTCCGCCAGGCATGCGTGGACGACGACGCGTTGGTGCGGAAGGTTGCAGCAGAGGAGGGCGACACGATTGCGGGGTGCGCCGAAGCGGTCGCAGGGGGGGGGCCAAAAATACACGGGCGATGGCCGAAATATCGATCGATGTCCACCATGTCGGGGATGCCTTGGTTATCTTTGTGGGTGCTCCCCGCTTCCGGTTTCCCAAACGTCGCAAGTATCGAACAATTGTCCCCGCACCCACGCTCACCTCCTTGGGAGTATGGGGAGGGGGGAGGAGCAGAAGCAGGAGCAGGAGGAGGTTGAGAAGGAGGAGGAGGAGGAGGAGGAAGGAGGGAAGGAGGAGGAGGAGGAGGAGGAGGAGGAGGAGGAGGAGGGAGGAGAGGAGGAGGAGGAGGGAGGAGGAGGAGGAGGAGGAGGGAGGAGGAGGGGGAGGAGTGAGGAGGAGAGGAGGAGGAGGAGGAGGAGGAGGAGGAGGAGGAGGAGGAGGAGGAGGAAGGAGGAGGAGGAGGAGGAGGAGGAGGAGGAGGAGGAGGAGGAGAGAGGAGGAGGAGGAGGAGGAGGAGAGGAGGGAGGAGGAGAGGAGGAGGAGGAGGAGGAGGAAGGAGGA